TTTGAATTTGTTCTTCTGTTCCTTGAGCTTAAGAAATGCTGAATGAATTCGGCCCTTTTGATTTTCTGACTCCAGCTCCTTGCACATTTCATCGTAATATGAAAAATATGTAAAAAGCTTTGCCATCCCATGCTGCCTTTTGGAATCTTCTATTCAGCTCTTTAGTATCTTGAATTCTTCCTTCTGCTTTGGCTTCTCTGCGCTCCAGTGCAATATTCAGTTTCTTCTGACATCCATTTTGGTCTTTTTTTCCTCTTCTGTCTTTGCAATGACCATCTGCATTCTTTCTGGATGATACCCTTGGCATCGTTCCACAACTCATTTAATCTGCTACTATACTAAAAAGAACTGGCTGACACATAAGTATTTAATAAAACAACTTATGCTCAAGAGGCAATGGTGATGAAGCAGGAAGTTCAAGCTGCTCTGAAGGAATTAGGAACCAAAAAAGGCCCAGGATTGATGGAATACCAGCTGAACTATTTCAACAAACAGATGAAGCTCTGGACGTGCTCACCAGGCTGAAACAAGAGATTTGCAGGACAACTCAGCCTGGAAAAGATCCCTATTTATTCCTATGCCAAAAAAAGGTGATCCAACAGAGTGTGGAAATTATAGTATGGTATCACTAATATCACATGCAGGGAAAATGCTGCTGAAGTTTATCTAAAAGCAAATGGAACAGTATATTGAGAGAGATCTATCATAAATACAAGCTTGATTTAAATGAGTCCGTGACCGTAGGAACCTCATTGCCAATGTCAGATGGATCTTAGCCAAAAGTAGAGAGAATGTCTATGCAAAGGCATTTGACTACGTGGATCACAACAAATTGTGGCTAACCTTGGGCAGAATGGGAATCCCAGAACACCTAAATGTGCTCACGTGAAACCTATACTCGGACCAGGAGGCAGTCATTAGAACAGAGCAAGGAAACACTCATGGTTCAAAAGAATAAAAAGAGTGCATGAGGGATGTGTCCTGTTTCCATACCATTTCAGTCTGCATGCAGAACAGATCATTTGAGAGACTGGGCTTTATGAGGAGGATTATGGCATCAGGATTGGAGAAAGACTCATCAACAACTTGTGATATGCACATGACACAACCTTGCTTGCTGAAACTGAGGAGTGGCTGAAGCATATGGTGCAGAGGGTCAAAGACTATAGTCTAGAGTATGGACTGAATCTGAACATCAAGAAACTGAAGATTCTTACCGCTGGGCTATCTGGCAGCATCACTGTAGATGGAGAAGAGACTGAGAAGTTGTTAACAATTTCAGCTTGATCAGTTCCACAAATCAACACTCCTGGCCAACAGTCAGGAATTACATTAGAATAATCGGCTGACAGGGACCTTTCCAGATGCTGAAGAGCAAGGAGTGAGGTGCACCCGATCCAGGTTTTCGCAGTTACTTGCTATGCATCAGAGAGCTGGACAATGACCAAGGATGAAAGAAGAATTGATGCTTTTGAGTTGTGGTGCTGAAGAATATTGAATGGATCATGCATTGCCAAGAGAGCTAACATGTCTGTCCTGGAGAGGGTGAAATCAAGCTGTTCCTTGGAGGCAAGGATTATGAGACTCTGTCTCACATACTTTGGGCATGTAGCCAGGAGGGACCAGTCTTTAGGGAAGGACATCATGCTTAGAAGGATAAAGGGATAGTGCTGGAGAGGAAGATGCCAGTGAGATGGACTGACACAATAACTGAAGTAATGAGGGTAGGCATGTCAGAGACAGTGAGATTGGCTCAGGAGCTATTATGCATAGGGTTGCTATAAGTCAACAGCACATAGCATCCACCACCATCAACTTCAGCAGTCTGAAATTGATCAAAGATGCCATTAACATGCATTACTAACTGGTGACTACTATGTGAAAGCTGGAAATGAAGAGGAGCTGGTGGTTGGAGATATAGCCTCAGTGACTGAAATGAGCCTGGAGATAGCATGACAGAATTTTATAAGGTCAAAAATGTAGTTATAGTAAACACTTAAAAAAATTCAAATCAACCATAAATGGAAACTAAACAACATATATTTGAACCTTGCTTGATGGAATACACAAGGATCAAATCAATTACATCTATGGAAAGAGATGGTAAAGAAGGTCAAGGACCTTTCTAAATTTTTGAAGATCAGTGAAGTCAGTTTGAGGACTAAGGTGTGCCTGATTCAGGCTATGGTCTTTTAAATCACTTTTTATGCATCTCAGATCTAGACAATAAATCAGGACGACAGATGCTTTTGAGCTGTGGTGTCAGAGAAGAGGACTGAACATCCTATAGACTGCCAAAAGAACAGAGATGTTTTGGAGAAGGTGCAACCAGAGTACTCCTTGGAGGCAAAGAAAACAAAGCTTCATCTCACATGCTCTGGGCAAGTTGCTAGGAGCGACTATTCCTTGGACAGAGACATTAAGCTTAGAAAGGTGGAGGGTTGGAGAAAAAGAGAAAGACCCTCAACCCGGTGGATTGACACAGTAATTGCAGCAATGGGATTTAAGTGTGTCAGAGGATGTTGAGGATGGCAAAGGCTAGTTCAGGGTTCAGATCTGTTGTTATAGGGTCTCTCTAGTAATACTTGACTTGATGGCAATTAAAAACAATTCAGGATCTATGCTGAGAAAATTATCTGAGAAGCTTGACCATGGCATCGAAAGTGGAGGGAGACTAATATCCTGCAATACACAGATGGCACACCTTGCCTGCAGAAAATGAAGAAAACCTGGAGCATTTACTGAAGATCATTATTGATTACCTTTCAACATAAAGAAACAAAACTCTCTCACAACTAGGCCAACAATATCATGATATAAAAGGAAACTACTGATGTTATCAAGGGTTTCATTTTACCAGAATCCACAATGCCTTAGGAAGCCAGTCAAGAAATCAAAATACAGTCAGTGGAGGCCTCTGTGTGAAGCAAACGTGTGGGTCGGTGCAGCGGCTGTGGAGCTGCTATGGTCTCGCCAGACCCTGGTCCCCGAGCCGCATGAGCACCGGCCTAGAATCAGGATTGAAACTTCAAGATGGCTGACCAAGACCCCTGGGGGCATTAGCCTCCTCCAGCAGACAGTGGCTTCAGGCACTGGGGCGACAATCACCTCTCTCTTTATGACACCCCTGGACATGGTAAAGGTGCACCTGCAGTCCCACTGCCCCTCAGGAACCAGTGAACCTGCACTTCCCTCTAGACTGTGGAGCATCTTCTACACCAAACTGTCATGCCCTCTCCAGCCTTCTGGGAAGTGCCTCCTATACTGCAGTGGAGTTCTGGAGCCAGGATACTTGTGCTGCCCAGTGGGGCCTGCTGTGCCACCTGGTTTCAGGATCCCACCTGCTTCACTGGCACCATGGATGCCTTTGTAAGATTGTGAGGCATGAGGGCACCAGGACCCTGTGGAGTGGCCTCCCAGGCACCTTAGTGATGACTGCACTAGTCATCGCCATTTACTTCCACCACCTATGACCAACTCAAGACCTTCCTGAGTGGGCGAAATGTGACCTATGACCTCTATGCACCCATGGTGGCTGGCGCTCTGGCCTCTTTGGGCACAATGACTGTGATCAGCCCCCCTCAGCTGGTGCAGACAAAGCTGTAGGCTTAGCATGTGTCGCAACCGGGAGCTAGGCAACTCTGTTCAAGCTGCAGTGGCTCAGGGAGGCTGGTGCTCTCTGTGGCTGGCCTGGGGGCCCACTGACCTTTGGGTTGTGCCCTTCTCGACTCTATATTGGTTCAACTATGAGCTTGTGTTGAGCTGGCTAAGTGGGTCCAGGCCAAAGGACCAGTTATCTGTGGGCATCAGCTTCATGGCTGGAGGCATCTCAGGGACAGTGGCAACCATCCTGACTCTGCCTTTCAATGTGGTGAAGACTCAGCACCAGGTCCAGCTGGGAGTGACAGAGACTGTGAGAGTGAGGCCTCTACGTGTGGACTCTACCTGGCTGCTGCTGCAGAGGATCCGAGCTGAGTCAGGGACCAAGGGACTGAGTGCAGGCTTCCTCCCAAGGATCATCAAGGCCGCCCCCTCCTGTGCCATCATGATCAGTGCTCGTAAGTTTGGCAAAACTTCTTCCAGAAACTCAACCAGGAGCTGCTGCAGGGCCCTTGAAAGGGGCCAGAGTTTGAGAACCCACCCCCATCTGCTTCATGGATGGGATGCAGGCAAGAGACTGAGCCAAGTGTCTTTTCCTCAGCACTGAGGGGTGGGGAGCTGCTTCCCTTTCCTCCTCTGGGTCCTCAGGGGCCCCCCTCAGACATGGCTTTCTTTCTGTTGCTCCTCATTCCTGAGGCTCAAAGAGCGTCACTTTCCCATCTCCCAAGTTCAAGACCAAATCTGTCTGTCCACATCCTCATTTTCCTGTTGTTTTTGTCTTTTGTTTGTTTTTTTTTCCCTGTAGCTGGACCTGCCCCCAGGAACCAAACACCCTTCCTGGGCCTGCCTCAGACTTCCCTACATCCATTAATTCCTTATGTCTTAAAACAAAACAAACAAACGGAAAAACCAAAATTGGCCCCCCCGCGCTCAAATATATATTGCATTGGATAAATATTTGTAAAGGACTTCTTTAACATATTGAAAAGCAAAGATATTACTTTAAAATCTTAAAGATTGAAAATTGCATTTCAGGAGTCAGTCACACCTCAATCACCTCATATGCATGTGAGAGTTGGATAACAAATTAGGAAGCCTGACCAAGAACTGATGCTTATGAATTTTAGTATTGGTGAAGAATGTAGAATATATCATTAACAATTCCAATGCTATGGAGTCAGTTTTGACTCCACCAGGTTTCTGAGGTGGTAAATTTTAACCGGAGGAGACTGTCCATCTTTTTTCTGGACGTTGCTGGTGAAATGAACTTTAAGAGATGCATAGCCTTTGAGTTAGCAGCACAGATGGCTACTGACTATTCCTCCAGATCTCCCCCGAATTATGACTGACTGCCAAAGAACCAAGCAGATTTGTCTTAAAGTGCAGCCAAGATGTTAGTCAGAGGAGAAGACGATGAAAAGACTTTATCTAACATATTTTCAACATGTTATCAGGAAGGGCGAATTCCTGGGGAAAGATAACATGACTGGTAAAATAGAAAATCAGCAAAGCAGAGGAAGACTTTCAATGAAACAGACTGGCTGTAAACAGTAGGTTTACGCCCAGCAGACTGTGAAGTTGGCCCAGGCAGGTGCACATTTTACTTTTGTCCACAGGGCTTTGTCAGAACTGAGAGTCAGCACATACCAACTAGATGACGTGGAAATGACTAGGTCTGAGCAGGGTACAACCATCTGATCTACTATGAAAGTTAGAAAGTCTCATATAAAGATTTGAGTAATGTCTATTTTGATCTAGTCATGCCTTTTGAAAGAAATAAGCTCCCCTTTGAGTGGTAAATTAGAAAATAAATAGACAACTAAAATGTTCCTGGTGGCCTAGTGGCCTAGAAGCTGCAGTGTAATTGCAAAGGTTCAAATCCACCAGTTACTCCATGGAAGAAAGATGGGACCTGCCAGAGGGTCAGCTATGGTAGTTATGACTCTATGGTACATACAACCACCAAAACAACCACAACATGTTTCCTGTTAGTCTTCAATTCTCTTGTATAACTGCTGTCAAGTTGATTCTGATTAATGAATTTTGACAGCAGCCCTGTTGGGCTGACAAAGTTTCAAATCTTTACAGAAGCAGCCTGTCACATCTTTCTTCCTTGAAGTGGCTGGAGGGTTCAAACTGACAAGTTTTTCTGGTAAGCAGTTAAAAGCTTAACCATTACTCAACCAGGAATCATCCTAATCTATTCACATATAGAATATTTTTAGTAACGAAGACTAACTTTTTCTCATTTTCTGCCCTTCAGTCTGAAAAAAGGTTACCTTGCCTCAGCAAGTTAGCAGATAAAGGAAAAACACAGAGGAACAAATGTCCTGTTACCAAAAGACCAAACCAAAACAAAACAAAAAAGGCATAACAATTTCAAAGCAATCAAAATTACTTTGACAGCAACATTTCACTGATTCGTTCACTTAGCAACATTTCACTCATTCATTCACTTAACAAACATCTACTGAGCAACTCGCTACCTTGGGCAAGAAACTGTGCTAGATCTTGGATATGAGTGAAATAAGTTATTACTAAAGGCTTTTTAGAATGGGTCTTACAGGACCAGTGTCATGCATATGTGATAACACTAAAACCTCTTAAAAAAACACATCATTTTCCACTTTATGAGGTCCTCAGACAAAAATTCGAAGCAGTATGACTTCTCAAGTATTTCACATTAACCTTAGTCCAGAGTAATTTACTAAATACTGTACTTACTCTTCTGCGACTTTCACCTTCCTCTTGCCTTTGTCTTTTTCTCTTCTCTAGAGACAGAAAGCAGTCTCAGATTTTGTGCACCATGGTTTATTAGAAGCACAGTAACAGAACTTAACATTGCAGGATATGCCCAACTTTCACTTATTTAAGTCAAATATAGTAGGTCACTGCTGGAAAGGGCTACAAAGGGAATACCTTCTCTATATTTTTGGAGATGGTCATCTAAAAAAGCTTCAGTGAAGGAAAAAGTTTTTTATCATGGTAACTTGAAATTTCTTTCTTTGTCTTTTAGTTTATTCTTAAATTCTAAGTTAAGTTCATATTTTTATCTAAAAAAATAAAAGGGTCTTTTTTGGTTACTCTCTTTGTTCTGTACCTCAGTCATATCAGTGGTTTTATTCATAGGATGAGTTTTACAAAATTCTGGCTGTTTTTCTCCAAATACTTCACTTGTGGATTTTACTTTTGAAAATCTCACCCAAATCTGGAAGTGATACTCCAGATGAGGTTTAATTAACAGTACAACTAATACATCAACTAGACCCACCATTCCTATGAAAAGGCAAAAAAGGTACTCTGGCTTATGCTTAAACTGACATACTTTTTTCTTTTTTTGGCTTCTGGTCAGTCAGTGACCATACAAAGGCCCCAGACCTAGGAAGAGAGAATGACGAAGAACCAACGTCCCAACACTGATCTGTTTTCATTTTTCTATTCTACTCCCGTTAGTCAGTGAATTTAATATGCTCAATCCTGTGATTACAATCTGACAGAGTGATGAATATTCTAACAGATTGTTGATGATCATCACATTCTAAGCAAACTGCCTTGGCTAGAATGACTTCTCATGTGGTATTGGACTGATGATTACTTAAATTAGTGAACTGTATGGCTGTATAAAACTTGGCTAATACTTTCCAAAGCAAATATGAAAACTACTTCCAGATCATATAAAGCTGTAGACTCATTTAATACTTTATGTTGCAGAATTTCTTAAAGACATGATATGTTTTCAAGTTATTTCTACTAAGGCGGCAGCATGTAGATTACTAGCTAATAAAAGTGCATTAATTTCTAATTTCCTTACATTAAAAACTACACAGAAGCTTTATAAACATTACTATTATATCTTGATTCTTAGCATTATCCTGTAATTTGCTTCAAAAGACAAATCTTACCTCTTCTGATTAATTCTTTTCCTTCATCAACTAAATCAGATGTCATATCATTATCACCCATGAACTGCTGGAAGCCAAGAAGATTCAAACAGCGAGTTCCCAAGCTACAAACAAAGGATTTTTTAAAAGACAAACACTATTTCACATTGAAAATTTTAGAAAAAATTAGTTTTTAGAAAAAATTATTTTTTAGTATTATCATTCCCAAAATCAGCTATGTACTTTCTTCAAAAGTATTTATTTGCATTTGTAAAACACTTATGTCTAGTATTTCACTGATGAGGATATGCACTGTAGCTAAAATACATACACAGCTAAAAATCACCACACCAAGATGCTAACTGGCTATAACACAAGACCAATTTATTCTTTTCTTAGAGTCAAATGCCAGTTTTATCACCGAAAATCACATAGACATTTCCAAGGATAAATATTCCTGTTAGGGTTTTTGTTGCTGTTAAGTGCTGTTAAGTCAGAAATGACCCATTCCTGACTCTCTAGCACATTCTAAGAAACTAAAAAATTCTGTGAGAAGAGTCTGCGCACCATTCTCTCAGAGCAGCTCTGGTGGATCTGAACTGCAGGCCTATTTGGACTGTAGCACAGCTCCTACCAGTAGGTTGTCCAAGCTCCCTGATTAGAATGTAGTATGCAAATTTACTTTCAGGGTTTAAATGTTATTGTTTGTTATTCTGGGATCTAGTCATTTCTACTTTTATTATGCACTCTGAAAACCTGGCACAGAAGTGAAAGATGGGTTGCTGTTGTTATGTGCCTTTGAGTCACTGGGGACACACAGTGACTCGATGTAGAGCAGCTCTGAACTTTGCCCTGTCCTGAGCCAGTCTCATAAATTCTGACACACCAACCTCTGTTGCCCCAGTTGGTGAAATTAGTATTTGTTAAGATCCAACATGTAGATATTGTCTTATTTCATTCTTACTACAAGCCTAAAAGCTAAGTATCCCTTTACTGATAAGACTAAAACCCAAAGGAGCTGGAATTTAAATCCAAGATGAAACAAAGATTGGATCTTATTATATCAGCTTTCAAATTTTTTTACTACTATGCTTCTAAAGGCAAGAAGCCTGAACACAAACATACATACACAAAAAGAGGGAAAAAAACGAATGTGAGTGAGAGTATGTATTTATGTGTGTGCTGAAAAAAGTGAAATCAGGAGTTAAATAGTTAAAGTCCCATGATTTACAGCAAAATGGGTAAGGATCTGGAGCATTCATATTAATTAATTTTTTTTAGCACATCAAGGACATTTCCTATAAATTATCATTCTATAAATTTGGAGTTTTAGGTGGATATTCATATTTAGATTATTAGTTTAAACAGTCTCTTACTATCTTTATATCCTTGTGGAAATTCTACAATATAATATATGCCCACAACTAGGTAATTGTCTCTAGAAAAGTTTATAGCTTTGTCTAGTGTGTTAACAAAATAGCCTTATGCTTTCTCAGCAGACAAGTCTGAAGATTCATTCTGAGTATGGTTACTGAAAGAAGGACTTAGGTTGATTACGACAGCATTTCAAATGAAAACAGATCTTTAAAGTCAAGCAATCTTTGAAATGTCCATAAGGCATTGCTTCAAATTGCAAAAAAATGGAACGATACAAAATCTATTTTCTAAGATTATCTGAAAATTCAGGAATACAGACCTTTTCACCCTTAAAGACAAAATGACAGTCAAAGCTTATATTATTAACTCTCAAATGACACTTCTAATGATTATTTTGAAGTTTAAAAATTTTATTTTAATGAATCATGATACAAGTCCTTGTATTTATTTAAGGGTTTAGAGTTGGTGAAGCATTAATATCCATTTAAAAATCTGTTCATCCACCTAGTCTAATAAGGTAAAAAAAGATATAAATCTTGCCATTGTAACTACTAAAACCAAAAGACACATTTTATAAATTTCAAGCAAATATAATGTTTATCAGCTTTAAAAATTTTTAAAATGAATAAACAATCAAAACTTAGTTTTGTACACTTTAGTTTCTTCTTTTAATGCATCATTTTCACAGTATAAATGGAGTGCCCTTTCTATAAGGAAAAACGATTCAATATTAGATTTGCTATAACTTCCTATTAAGTTTTATTTTAAAACAAAATGCTTTAGATATTTTATTGTTGTTGTTAAGTGCCGTCAAGTCGTAGGCGACTCATAGCGACCCTATGAATGAAAGACCAGGACACTTGTATAACTTTCATCCTTTCTCCAGGTTCACAGGGTTTCCAGAGGCAAGCTATTTCAGAAGTGGATGTCACCCCTGCTTCCAAGCTTGTTTTAATTGGGGAGTGCCACCAAACACTGTCCACCAGGGGGACCACCATTATGGCATTTGATTCATCAATGTCACAATATTTAGCATCACAGCAACCACGAGGTACTTATTAGAAAGTAAAATATTTTTTAAAAATTCAGTAATATATTTTAAACCTTTTCAGTCAGTAGTTAGTATGTTATTTATAATAACTATGCAGAAGGTGTGCCTCTATGGCATTTTCAATCACTTCATTTGCATGTAAAAAGTAGACAATGAATAAAGAAGATTGAAGGACTGACATGTTTGATTACAGTTTTGGCAAAGGTAGTTAAATATACCATGGGCTGCCAGTTGAATGAACAAATTTATCCTGGATAAAGAACAGCCAGATGCAAGGACAGCAAGCAAGTCTTTGTCTCAAGTCCTGTGGACATGTTAGCAGGAGAAATTAATCCCTGTATAAGGACATCATGGTTGGTAAAGCATAGAGTCAGAGGCGGGAAAGGAAGACCCTCATCAAGGTGGACTGATACAGCATCTGCAACAATAGGCTCAAATACAATTGCAAATGTGAGGATGCAGAGGTCTGGACAGTGTTACATTCTGTTGTCCATGGCTGCTGTGAATAAACACAGACTCAACGCACCTTACAGTAACAGAACTGTAAGGAGTGATTTAAATGGAAAGTAGTGAGATGAAACTGAAATTTGATTAAGAAAACCAAGCTGATCAAATTAACATTAAGGACTGTCTTTGAAAAAATGTTATTTTTTATGTGCCATGGAGTACTTAGGAGCCCTGCTGGTGATAAGGTATTAGTAAGTTCAGAATTATTCAAACATACAGTGTTGTTGTAGGACTGACATCATGTGCCTCCAGCCTGCAAAACTGGTCTGAATCATCTAACAAACATTTGTTTGGTCCTCAGGCCCTGTTGTAATCTCCCTATGGTCATGCAGATAACCTTAAACTGTCTGCCAGTTTATCAGGAGAGGAAATGCATCTTTCATTGAATTAGCATCTGTCTTTTCTCAATCATTTGTAAACTGTACTTCAAGCTAACTGTACCTAAGAATCCTAACATAGTATTTTTTTCAGTCATATGTGAACTGTACCTTACCCCCTGCCCAACAGGAGGGGGAAATGCATCTTTCCTGAATTAGCACTTACTTTTTGAAACTGTTTTTCTGTCACAAGTAAACTATATTTCACAGGTTGTCTGTTTATTGGTAACTGTATGTAGACTGCTTTTGACTGTAAAAACCCTGCAGCTTTGAACTAGGATAGGAATCTGCAGTAGTGCTTTGGAATCTTCCATTTGTCTGTCTTACTGGCAAGTGGCTACAGAAAGAAGCCCTTGTGTTCACTAACAGTGATGTAGTGGTGCAGCACTCAGCTGCAAATGGAAAATTCAGTAGTTCAAACACTGTGGGAAGAAGATAAGGTGGCAATTCTGTAGATTTGCTATGAGGGGTCATAGCAACCCTGCAAACAGTAGGATGAGGTGCTATGTGGTTCTGTGTCATCTTCTCAAAGATTGCTATGGGGAAGTCCACTGTTGTAGGCACTGTGTTCATTCATCTTGTAGAGAGTCTTCCTCTTTTGCACTGACCCTCTCTACTTTATTAAGCATGATGTCCTACAAACCTCTACTCTGTCCAATAGGACTGCTGTGTAAAATTCAACATGGAAGTAATGAATTTTTACAGAGCAACAGTGAAGAGGGCAGACAGAGTACAGGGTGAAGATGCTGTGATGCCTGAGTAGGGATGCTAGGAGAATCCATTTGTTCTTTAACATCTTATTCCTGCCCGAAGCTCACACTTTCTTCTTGATCCATTGAAAAGAACATGCCACTTTCCTTCCAACACTGAAGGAATCTCTTCCAGTCCCACATAGATGGCCTGTTTACAATTGCTTCTCACTTGACCTTTGTTGCTGGCTAGGGCCTGAATCATTCAGAAACCCAGAAATGCCTGAGGGTGAAGTTCCAAGACAAATGTTCATTATTGGCTAGAAGCTTGATGGACATGCCTTATATAAGCTACATCAACTGTCAGTATTAAAGGCAAGACTTAAAATTTCATAACCAAATCTCATCATTTTGTGGTCTAAATACTCCATCCACCTCTGTCTTAGAAATATCTTCAAAGAAGACTCTGAAATTATACTGCAAATGATTCCTAGCTCCCCTCATAAAAAAACTTGCATTTTTTTGTTGCTGAATCAGACCCCAATCACAGCTGACCCTCCAGTGGGTTTTCAGCAGCTGTTAATCACACAGGAGGAGGCTGCCCATCTTTTCCTCACATAGCAGCTGGTAGATTCAAACTGCTTGCCTTTGGGTTGGCAACACAATTCCTTACTCACTAGGTCACAACAAAACAAATGACAAGCAAATCCATCCAGTGAATATTTAAAAGAGCTTCAAGAAGGGACAGATGAAGGTAGTATGAGGAATAATCAGCAATGTTAGGTGTCTTACCTAAAATATGTAGCAATGCAGAGAATTACTACCAACATAGGATAATATATATAGAATCCATCTGCAATAAAGGATAAAACTTTCATGGAACCCATAATCTGTAGAACAAGAAAAAAGTAAATTAAACCAGGATAATTCTCTATTTTTTCACTGATTATTAGAAAAGTTGTCCAGAGCCAGTCATACCAATAAATATGGATTTTTCAAGAACATAAGAAACAATCACAAACAAAATATCTAAATGGATTTTTCTAAAAAGCTTACTTTTTATTAGAGTTTTTGCTTTATAAAATTATTTCATAAATAGTACTGAAAATTTTATTAGGAGTGATAAATATAAAAGCAGATATTTCAATTCAAGACAATTGATACTAGTCATTTGGACAATCTATATAAAACAAAAAATTGTGTATTAAGAAAAGAAAATAAGAGGGTGAAGGAAATGGAAAAAATCTGGTGTGAAAATCAATGTATTCAAACTTTGTATACAAACCAGTATAAAAAAAAAAGGAAATAAAATTACTTTTATCTGATTATGAGTAATTAGAAATAAGTATCAGGAAATAAATAATAGCGCTTTTATGAGAAAGTTTACTTATTAAGACCAGAAATGTCTAAAAGAATGTTTTTGCTAGGATTATAAAGAATTATAAAGAATTTCACAATACCAGTATCTCAATGAGATGGTGAATATAAACAACTGATTTTGAACTATACTTACAGATGTATAAGCAGTTGGCTGAGTATTTTGGTGAGAGATGGATGAATCCATATGGGTCAAACCCAAGAAATTAAGACACAGAGGAGGTGTTAAACGGCAAAATAACCTGTAGTAAGAATTTAAAACCATATACAAAAAATAAAGCAAAGTATTTTATTAAAATGTGATAGAAATATTTTACTTTTATCTACTTTCATTTTATATATTCTATATTCATTACGTAAACTGCCTTTATTTAGTTAGAAGATATTATGGAAATCCTATTAACTACCTCTCTCCTAAGAACATTAAGATATGTGTCAAAATGCTAGTTTCAGGCTGCTGCTCTGCTGGCCTTTGCCTGCACTGTGCTATGAGCTGGAATCGACTGGACGATAGAAGGTTTTGGTTTGCAGGGACTTGTGGAATGCCTTCATAGCACCTGCTTCAATTCCACGAGCTGTGCAATCATCTTAGCAAGCTAAGGGCAATGGCATTGCCTTGATGAGGATGGTAATTTCTCACAGAGAATTCTACTCCATACACAAAACATCTGAAGTTGTATCCACCCATGCCCACAAGCCAAGTCCAGGGGAAAAAGAACTGCTCACTCAATTACTGCCACTGAGTCAGCATCAACTCACAGTTGACCCACAGACAGATTTTGTGCTGCTGGAATTCACATTCAAGGGGACTGCCTGTTTTTCTCCTCTGGAGTCACTGGTGGATCTGAATAACCAGATAGAAGCTGTCTTTATGGAGTATGCCACAAGGGCTCACCAAAGAACTGCTCACTCACTCATGCCACCAAGGCAGAATCGATTCATGTCTGAACCTCGACCGTTTTCAGAGACTGAAACCACACAGGAGGAGACTGCTTATTTTTCTCCCAATGAGATGCTGCTGGCTTCAAAATGCCTGTCTTTGGATTGGTAGGGGACTTCCTTACCCCCAAGGCTACCAGAACTCCCTAAAGGTCAGTTTTATCCAAATTTGTTTTTCAAATTTAAATTTTAATCAAAATTTATACAGAACTTAGATTTTCATTCATCCATTGCTGCACATTTTCCTCCCTGCCCAACCCCCTAGTTTGCTTTTCTCTTGGAAAAAAAAATTCTTTCTTGTTGTAAACCCCACCCCCACCCCCTCCCCACTTTACTATGCAGCTCTTATTCTGTCTGGACTGTGTTGTCATGCAAATACTATCTAATAATATATTCCTTTTAAGTAGTTCTATTCCTCATCTGTTTCAATGCAGTGTACATTATCGCCTCTTAGTTTCCATCAAACCTGATATCAGTCCTGTTTTCTAACAGTGGCATTACGCAGTATTAGTCCTTTTGTGACTGAGATATTTCACTCAGCAAAATATCCTCCAGGTCACCCATTTTGTATATTTCATGAGTTCCTTGTTTTTCAGTGCTGCATAGTATTCCATTGTGTGAATATACCACAGCTTCTCTATCCATTGATTTGTTGATGGGCACTTGGGTTGTTTTTTTTTTTTTTTAAAAAAAGATATAAAACCACAGAGATAAATAAACTACAATGATGGTAAGTTCATCCTCTGAGAAGTGAATGTAGATATAAAAAATATGAGGGAATTTTTTTATACAGTGATTGGAATAGTTCTATATCTGGATTGGGCAATGATTACAGCAATCTACACACATATACATGAAGGAAGGTTAAAATAAACTGAAAATTGAACAAGGTTTATACCTTAGTTAACATCCATGCCTTCTGTCATTATGAGGGGAAGCTGGGTGTAGGGTACATGGATTTCTAGTCTATTTTTTCCTCTTGGGTGGAATGGAGTTTTTATCTCTTAAAAAAATGAAAATGCTTTGGAGATGCTTCAAATATTGATTCCTTTGTGAACTTCACTAGGTTCCACGTAGAGTGAAAAGGGAACTGTGACCAGTGAATAAACTAAGACATGTTTAACTAATAAACAGGCATTGCCTTAGACCACTCAGCCATTCTGACTCAGGAAAACCTGAAGAGTGACTGACTTAAAAGGGCTTTGATAGCAGGAATACTTGCAAGCCTGGAACAAAATCCTTGTTAACAAGACTTTTGAGTAAATATTAGGTGAATGTTGCTTGCGAATCCAGTGGTTAAGAGAATGCTCTTGAGGCAATGTTTATATTCCCTGCTGTAACAGCCACTATCTGATTTATAGCATACTGTTAATCATTTGAAGATTTTGATTAAAAGCTTCACTTGTGTTCTGTATAATCACTTAAGATTCTTGAAATCTTTTGTTCCTTGCACTTCAACTATTTTATCTTTTCTCAAGTCTTTCTATTCCTCACTCTCCATCCACACTACTGTAGAGCTGGACTCTATAGTAGCAGTAAAGACATGCTAGGCCAAGCTGAAATCAGCTCTCTGCCCTTTTAACTCCTTATTATTATTAGGTTCCATGGAATCGACTACTACTCAGTGACCCTCTGAAGAACAGTTCTGAACCCTGCCCTATCCTGTAACTCCTTTCTTATGATCTCCACGAGGCTGAAGCCACTGTTAGAGTCACTGTGTCACTCTATCTAGCTGGAGGTCCTACTCTCTTTCTCTAACTCTCCATCCTTCCCAGAATGCTCTCTTGTTTTCAAGGACTGATCCCTTCTGCTTAAATGCTCAGTGTTAACCACTTAAGAAAGATGATTTCAGTTGTTGGGAGATCTGATGGCCTAGTGGTAAGAAGCTGTGCTGCAATCCCAAAGTCACCTGAGCAGTCACTCCGCGGGGAAAATGATGGCCCATCTCCTCTCTTGTGATTAACTGCCTCTAAAAACCTGCTGGAGGGTCAGCTATGATTCAGTTTTAACCTAACAGCACGTGACAACACAACATTTCTGTTGTTAGTTCTCATCCATTCCTGTTTTGTATCAATGAATCTCAAAACATTCTCTACATTCAACTTAAATCTTTAAATTGTCAATTGGTCCTACTATTTACTAAATTATTAATGGAACCTCTTACAGGGAAATCTAGGACTACTGTGTCTTTTTTCTCTTTTAAAAAGTAGCATGTCTGTTTTAACCTTATCTTCAAGTAGTAATTAGCTGGCAATCAACAAATAGTTATTTAACACTTGAAATCATTCAGTGCTTCTTTGTTGTTAGTTGTCATTAAGTTAAATGACTCATGGCAATCTCTTATGTACAGAGTATAACTGTGACCATATAGAAGCAGAACAGGCCTAACCTCTGGGTGGCTTTTAACTAACAATCTTTTAGCTAGTAGTGAATTACTCAGAAGTTTATACCATTCAGAGAATTAAACAACAGTTCATAAAAATATAGCTGTTTGTGGACCACCCATAAAAAAAACACAAAAAAAATCTACAGGAATTCATGCAATACAGTCCTCTTATTTTAATCATAATAGTACTTACATGCCACTGAAAAGAAGGCTATATGCATCAGTCTGATGATGTGAAGCCAAATAATAGTAGTTAAATACACGGATCCTGAACACCGTAGAATAAACACAGATACTGAGAAAAAAGATGGAAAGGAAGCAAGCAATCTGAAAAAACAAAACATCCAAGTCTATTTTAGACTAACAGACTTTAAACTACTATTTTACATTCTATCCCAATATTTCTACTATTCCCAGCTCTTACTTATTGAGGTTCTAAAATTTATAAGCACAAAGATGGAAAATGAAAATATGGGGACGAGGATAAGTAGATACTGAAACCAGTTTAACATCCTAGATGCATATATTTCAAATCTGCCTCCTGAAGTGGGCCTGTTTTCTCACTTTCTTATGAATTCATCACGTTGAAGCTTCAAGTTACGTAATTCTACTGACACAAAGATCAAAGTATTCATAGGAGAATTTTGCACTGTTTGCACCCTTTCCAGTTCTCTTAAAGACAGTTCTTTATTTTTACAACTAACCCAAAGGAGCCTCTCCATCAGTTCTTCCAAGTGATAAAGATGAGCAATCTCCTCCGTATTCTCTGAGAACACACTGAAGGGCCACTTAGGAGCTCATTCCAATTCAATGGCAATGAGTTTGGAGTGAGTTGTTATTATCGTCCTGGTAAAATGGGGAAGCTCATTTTTTTTTATATCTGAGTAATAAAACTATTAACTTCACAGTTTTAATTACTAGAATAATTACATGAAGAAAAGCTGTAACAGGTAAGGATTAACTATGAACTGACAAATACTTATGACAAAAATATACTGAACTGACCTCGATGTAAATATAATTGTATGTTTTTTCTGCCAGCTGTATGAAGACGGCAAAGAGGGACAGGACAGGTCTGGTGCTAAAGAACGTGCACTCTGACCACACAACAATCACAGAGAAGACAGACAAAACCACGGCAAGTATCCTGTAAAACCACGGTCGTAAGAGGCATTCCCAGTACCATTCTGGAAAAAAAAGAAAAACAACCAAACCAAACGATGAGATTAGATTAGCTCACAAAGGAGCAATCATTTCTTTGCAACATAAATAAATAACGAAGCAAAAATAGCAATCTTACAATTGAGATACCCCCCCCCAACCAAACGACTCCCAGTAAGGGGACAAAATGACATCATGCATCTCCTCTTTGAAGGTACCAGACACATGAAACCACTGCTGTGGTGTTCCTGTACCAAAATCCGGAACACTAACTTAATCCAAGGGAAATATCAAAGTCAAATATGAGGGCTCTGGACTGCTAACCAGAAATGTCAGCAGTTTAACCCACCAGTTGCTCCTTGGAAGACAGATGTGGCAACCTGCTCCCAGATTTATAGCCATGGAAACCCCCTGGGGTTGTTCTCCACTGTCTAACGTGAGAGCTGTGATGCTAACGGGTTTTCTAGTTTGAGAAATGGATAAAGGACACTAGAGAGAAACAGATTGTGAGGATGATGCAGGATCTGGCAAGGTTTCATTCTGTTGCACACAGGGTCATTATGAATCAAAGCCGACTTGATGGCACCAAATGGTGTTGAGACAGGAAAGATGTACATAAATGCATGAGCTGGGATTACTTTTTTTTTTAATCAATTACCAAGATCTGAAAAGTCAGTAAAATGTACATAGAAGGTATTGTAGATTTTGATCAATGCATTTGCTTATGTGAAAGAATGTTTCTATGCTTTAAAATACACCATAAAATATTTAAAATACACCATAAAATACTTATGGGTAAGGACATATCGTGGCTGTATTAGATTCTCAGAGGAGTTAGGTAAAAATAGAAACAGATATAGAGAAAGAGCAAACAAGTGAAAAGGACAGAATTTTATTTGGGAAATCTGAGTGGAAAGTGTAAGAGACTTCTTGTACTATACCGGCAATTTTTTTTGTTCAGTCAGAATTTAGATAAAAATAAAAGGTACCCCCAAAAAGCAGCTTATAAAATGGAAAACTGTGAGTTTTTTCACTATGGAGGTTTTTATGTATTACCAAGTCATAGAATCAAGTCATAAGACCATCCAGCAGGTTTTCAAAGGCATTAAATAGTATGGGGGAAGACTACCCATTTTTCTCCCATGGAGCAAAGGGTGGATTAGAAGCACATGCCTTTGGGTTGGCTGCAAAATTCCTTACCACTAGGCCACCAGAACACCATAAAACATTCCATAAAGCAGAGATTTCTATCTGTTTGGCTCAGTGATACTATATTTCCAGTAACAGCTAGCATAGATGTGTTTAAATATTTTTATTTTGTAGGAAATTTTAAGTATTTGTGAAGTACAGTGAAAATTTGATAGATTATATTTTACATGACAAGTATAATAGTTATCTTGGGGGGATATATTATAAGAGGGATTATTAGAATAGGGATAAAAAAACTGACTTAATAGAACTATATGTCCACAATTAATATTTTTTTTTTCCATACCAACTGTAGGATTGTAAAAATACTGGACCAATCTATTTTCTGGCTCCGGCGACTGAAAAGTATGAACAAACTGGTGAGTTGCACTGGCTTCATTTTTTGCTACATCTTCTAGATAAAATGCTTGTTCCAAAAGAATCTGCCATTGTACTTGAGTTCGCCGGTGCCTCTGAACTGAATAAATCACCTAAAAAAAGAAAGTAAGTGTTTTGATCCAAGAATAATTAAATTTAATCATTCCATAAGGAGAGCTTGCTTTGTTGTTTTTTTTTGTTTGTTGCATGAAATGTTTATTGTAATTGTACCTACGTGTACGAGTTTCTTTTTTTTTTTTTAATCAATTTAGTTTGTTTATTTTTCATTTCAATGAACATCTACAGAGATTTTGGAATTCCATTCATTCATTGTTGCACCCTTCTCCCCACACAAACAACCCCCACCCCACCCCACCCCCGCCCCCGTTTGCTCCTCTCCTTGAAAAGCAAAAGAAAAACTCCCTCATTGGTACACAATCCCCCCCGCACCTCCCCAAACCCCACCCCCTACCCCCAAACATAATCCACTCTGCAACCCTCACTGCATACTCCTACGATAAAAATAATGCCCTAAAATATAATACTTTTAGATTATTGTTTGATTTTTTTTTTTACAGTGAGGAAGTGTGAGTGGCCATCTATTTGGTGGAGCCAAGGATGTTAATGTTCTGTAATATATATATATAACAATTCTGCTCAGTAAGCAATTTATTCTCCCAACACCCCAACAGTGCTCCTGTCCAGAAATGTGAAGAACACATCAAAGAGTGATAAGGACAGGAACAAAGGATGTTTTAGGTACTCCCTCAAATCCCTTTTTGAAGACAACTAAAAATCTAACTAAACCCACTAGTAGGTAAAATAATGGAAACACGTCAGGTTACCTGTTTATGCAGCTTGACCAGGCTTTTCTCACTTGGGTAGGTATTATGCTTTTCATCAAAATCTTCATAGTCATCCATGTTCCTACCCATTTTTTCTTGATACTCTGTGGGGCACTGAAAGAGATATGCAGAGATTTTTAAAAATCTTTATCCTGCAAAAAGATAGCAAGTTAATTTTCATTACAAAGCTTCCATTTAAGGGCATTTCTAATTTTCTTAAAAACAAATCTTGGCATCTCCATATAATTGCATTTTCAATAGTGATGTTTTCTTGAATATGTTATAAAAGATGCACTGAGTTCTGAGCTGTGAAAAATTGTCTTCTCATCTGTATTAATATTAATCTCTATGCCCAGGTACATGTGTTTGGAATGGGTTGGGGGGCAGGGGAGCTTACGTAAGAAGCAACCAATATTTGAGGATTATTCTAAGCAGGCACCTTTATAGAACTGCTGTTTTCATATTTAAATAATGAGGAAGAACCATGACAAATCCAAGATGCTGAATTTTTGAAATGTATAGTATAGAGAAACAAATACAGGATATTTAGAGTCATCTCTCTTACTAAACCCACGGCTGTTGCGTCAATTCTGACTCCTAACAACTCTGCAGGGCAGAGTACTACTGCCCTGTAGAATTCCTAAAAAGCCATAAATCTTTATGGGAGCAGACTGCCACATCTTTCTCCTAAAGAACAGCTAATGCCTTCCAACCACTAAGCTTGTGGCACTCAGTAATTTTAAAAAGTGATCAACTAGAGCACTGGTCCACCAGTGCTCCTATTACTAGTCATTTAGTAGCTATACAAATCAATGCATTGTACTTAGATTCCTAGATTAAAAATCTTAAAAGGCAGCAAATATGAGATTGGCAGTTCATTAACTGGTTCTTAAGACAAACACTGACTAGTAATCAGTAGAGAACAATTGATTGAATATATTAAAGAAACATTCAGTGATTCTGTAGTTTCTTAAAAGAAACTGAAATACTAGTGGAACAACCATGTGGAAATACATGAGTGCTCCTAATTTAACATCAATGAATGAAAGTCTTACAGCTTTTTACTAAATACTCATGTTTAGTATCTCACATCATTTTTAATACTGATTACAAAAACATTTAGGAATGAAAATGACTATTATTGAGGCCCTACTTTACTTTCTTTTAGGGAGAAATATGTTTGGGATAAGAGCATTTTTATAGACTAGGAATATATCCTAACAAAATCTGAATGAGATACGAACGCAAGTATGTACACCTATGATCATACCATCATGGCAATGCTTATACCCCATATATAACTTACTCAACATCATCTCAAACTCCTCATGTTACTGGAGAATGCAGTCAATCAGGAATGCTAGATTTGGCAATAATTAAAGAACTCACTGTGTGTATACATATAATTACAGGTTTATGGTTACGATTTCCATGAAAATGGGAAGAACATGGGAAGATCTCAGGTATGGAGCAATCTCAAACTTTTCTAATGTTTTTATTATTTTATAAAAGAGAATAGATGAGATAATGTGATTTAATTACCTTTTTAAGTATTGTATCAACACATTTTCTCAATGGGTGATTATACTTGATGCTTTCATTCACTTTACGAACCTCCTATAAACACAGTAAGAAATTATTTTTATGGATCAGACATTTCAAATGAGAAGAACATACATTCTCAAGCCCTCAATTTGAACCCAAATTATGTACTATAAAGCCTCTTTCACAAAATAAGTCTCCCTAAGAACACAAGTCAAAATCTAGTCATTGAATAACTGTATCTCATAGTTTCTATTACTCTCTCATCATTTGCCAACTTGTTATGCAAAAATGAACAAGAAAATATTTACTATTTATACAATAAAAATTCAATATTCTTGTGTTAAGAGCTCTTAAAAAATCAATACAAATAGGCAAGACAGCTAGTTGATAAAAGTCTGGAAAAATAGTTAAGTTCACTAAAAACAATTGTAGATTTAAAAAAAAGCATTTTCAAGCAGGTGAAGTAGGTAAACAGGTCCACTTTTACTAAAAAGCAATATAGGCTATTTAAATGGTATTTAGCTCTGGTGGCTGAGTGGTAAGGAATTGCTCTGCCAAGCTGCTCCAGGGGAGAAAGATGGTCAGTCTCCCCCCATACTATTTACAGTCTCTGAAAAACTCACCTTGAGGGTTAGTTATGAGTCTGTATTGACTTGGCAGTTGTTGTTTTTGTTGTTGTTATGTGCCATTGAGTCACCTGCGGCTCATAGTGACCCTATATACAACAGTCCTAAACCCTGCTCTATCCCTTGACAATCTCACTGTCTCCAACATGCCTATCCTCATTACCCTAGTGATGGGATCAACCCATCTCATCAAGGGTCTTCCTCTCCTGCACTGTCCCTCCACTCTTCCAAACATGATGTACCTCTCCAAGGACTGGTCCCTCCTTGCAACTTGTCCAAAGTATGTCAGACGAAGCTTCAGAATCCTTGCCTCCAAGGAGCAGCCTGGCCTCACCCTCTCTAGGATGAACTTGTTTGTTCTCTTTGCAGTCCATAGTATATTCAATACTCTTCTCCAGCACCACAGCTCAAAGGCATCAACTCTCCTTCTATCATCCCTAGTCATTATCCAGCTCTCTGAAACATGTCAAGTAATGGCAAAGACTATGGCCTGTATCAACTACACCTTAGTCTCCAAACTGACATCATTGCTCCTCAGTACCTTGGAAAGGTCTCTGACAGCTGACTTTCCTAATGCAATTCATCTTTTAATTTCCTGGCTGCTAGTACCAAGAGTGTTGATTGTAGAGCCAAGCAAACCAAACCTGTCAACAGTCTCAATCTCTTCACCATCTGTCATGATGCTGCCAGTCAGCCCAGTGGTGAGAACCTTTGTTTTCTTGACATTGAGCTTCAATCCATATTGAAGGCTGCAATCCTTGACCTTCTGCAGGAAGCACTTCAGGTCCTCTTCAGTTTCAGCAATCAGGGATGTGTAGTGACAACAAAAAGGATTTAGCAACGCCCGTGAAAATGTTGTTCTTGTTATGTGCCGTCGAGTTGCCTGCAACTCACAGCGACCCTATGCACAGAAGCTCTGAACCCTGCCATGTCCTGAGCCAGTATCACTGATTCCGACACTCCAATCACTACTGCCCCGTCACTGTGTCAATCCATCTCATCTGGGTCTTCCTCTCCCACGCTGTCCCTTCCTACTTCTGAGCATGATGTCCTTCTCCAAGGACCCATCTTCTTTTGGCCATGTATGACCAAGTATGTGAGACGGAGCTTCAAAATCCTAGCCTCCAAGGAGAAACTTGGTTTTACCCTTTCCAAGACAAGACTTAAATGTTTCTTGGCAGTCTACGTTATGTTCAAGACTCTTCTCCAGCACAATTTGAAGACATCAATTCTTCTTCTGTCATCCTTAGTCATTGTCCAGCTCTTTGATGTACAGCAAGTAATTGCAATGACCATGGCCTGGATTAGCCACACCTTAATCTCTAGACTGACATCATTGCTTTTCAGTACTCTGGAGAGGTCCCTGACAGCAGATTTTCCCAACAAAATTAATCTTTTTATTTCCTGACTGCTGGTGTTTAAGGGTGTTGACTGTGGAGTTAAGCAAGCTGTAACTGTTAACAACCTCAGTCTCTACTCCATCCATCATGGTGCTGACAATTGGCCCAGTGGTGAGAATATTGATCTGCTTGATTTTGAGCTTCAGTCCATATTGAAGGTGCAGTCCTTGACCTCCTGCAGCAAGCACTTCCAGGATACATATTCTATTCTGGGCCAGAGTACAGCACGTATAGTCTTCCTCTCCTTTGTGGACCCTCCACATTTCCCAACATCATGTCCCTCTCCAAGGAATAGCACCTCTTAGCAATATGTCCAAAGTGTATGATGTATAGCAGCATCATTCTTGCCTCTAAAGAGCATTTCAGCTGCACCCTCTCCAAGACATATCTGTTCATTCTCTTGGCCATCCATGGGATGTTCAGTGCTCTTCTCTAACACTACAAATCAAAGGCATCAATTCTTTTTCTGTCAGCCTCGTTACTGTGGAGGTGTCGGATGCACAGATAGTAACTGGACAGAATATGGCTTGAATGAGACATACTTTTAGTCCTCAAACTGATATCAGTACTCCTCAATAATTTGGAAAGGCCCCTAACTATACATTTTCCCAGTGCAATGCGTCTCCTTATTTCTTGACTGCTTGTACCAAGGGTGTTAATTGTGGATCCAAGCAAGATGAACCTGTTAACAGTTTCAATCTCCTCTCCATCCATCATGATACTGCCTATTGGTCCAGTGGTAAGAATCTTTATTTTGATATTGAGATGCAATCCTTACTGAAGGCTGCATTCCTTGATCTTCTGCAACAAGTGCTTCAAGTCCTCCTCACTTTCAGCAAGTAATGTTGTATCATCTGCATAACACAGGTTACTGATGAGTCTCCCTCCAATCCTGATGGCACATTCCTCTTCACAGAGTCCAGCTTCTCAGATAATTTGCTTAACATGTAGACTGAACACGTATGGAGATTGAATACATCCCTGACACACTCCCTTCCCAATTCCAAACCATGCAGTGCTCCCCTGCTCCGTTCGCACAAAAGCCTCCTGATCCAGGTATAGGTTCCTCAAGAGCACAATCAAATGCTCTGGGATTCCCTTTCTTCTCAATGTCAGCCACAACTTGTCATGATCCACCGTCAAACACCTTTGCACAGTCAATAAAGCACAAACAGATATTCTTCTGGTATTCCTCACTTTCAGGCAGGATCCATCTGACATCAGCAATGATATCCTAGTGGCACGACCTGTCCTAAATACTGTTTGAACTTCTGGCAATTCCCTATCATACTGCTTTTAAAATGCATTCTGGACTTCTCAGTATGACATTCAAAGCCCTATTACCTTGACTATAACCTTTTTCAAAACTTAAAACTTGTATCTTACTACCATAAACCTTTAATTTCATTTTAAAATTCTGTGATCTCTCACCAGAGCATTGTCAGCTACCCACATTCTACTTATTCTAGGTCTAGGTGTCATTGCATTTCCCCCAGAGTAACTTTGCTTGGTCACTATTCAGAAGTGAAACCTGAACTACAGCAATTCCTTTGAATCATTCATGTCACTTTGACTATTTGTACAATTTTCAATCTAGATATTTAGTATCTTTCTAAAGTCTGCTGTCTTCATGGCATTGCGGTTATGTACTGCAGAGTTGGACTACAACAAGTTCTTTTTAAATCCATAACTAAGTTAATCTAACACAACATCATTTTATAATTGCTCTAAATTTTTATGTATTTAACTGAAATTTATCTCTTGAATAATGTTGTAAAGTTGCTTCAAATCAGTTACATCCTATAAATGAGTAAAATAAAGTGCTTCGTTACGATACAAACAGAACCATAACTTATTGGTACAAATCCTCGATGCAAATTATTCTCTCAAATGGTTTCCAGACGTAGTTGGTGTGGTTACTTTGGGTTAAATTTTCTGGGAGATTATTTTCCACTCTCAGTACAATAATATAATCTCAACATCTAATCTAGAAATTGAGCTCTGGTGGCACAATGGGTAAGAAGTTGGCTGCGAAATGAAATGCCAGTGGTTCAAATCTACTAATAGCTTCAGGGAAGAAAAGACAGGTGATGTACGACCACAGAGATATCAAACCAAACTTAACCAAACCACTGCCACTGAGTAGATTCCAACTCACTGAGACCCTGTAGGCCACAGCAGAATTTGCACCTTAAGGCTTCAAAAGCTTTATACATTTTGCAAGCATACTGTCCATCTCTTTTCCATGGAATGGTTAGTAAGGTAAAACAGCAGACATTTTGGTTACCAGTCAAATGCCTTAAGAGAGCCACCAGAAGTTCTCCTTAAAGATTACAATTTAAGAAACCTTATGGGGTAGTTTCACTGTCAGATAATGTCACCAAGTGTTAGAACTGACTTAACAGCACAAAATGCTACCTGCTATACTTTTGAGAACAAAAAGTATCATTATTAACATTATCCCAAAACAAGAGGCATAACTCTGCGTTGTTGAATATATGCTCACTGAATTTGTTACTTAAAAAAGATCCTGTATGATCCTGGAGGATTTTATATAGCCATGTTTTCACTCTAAAGCTCATCAGTGTACTAATGACAACAGAACGCACCAAGGACTAGAAGATAAATGTAACTTGTTGATTTGTTTGTAAGGTTTAAACCTGTTCACGTACCTCCATAATGTCTTCTAAATTCTCTTCTGCATCTGCTTTCTCTGTCATTAGTTTAGCTGCCTTAAAGTAAGTCTTCATAAGCAGATAACCCTTTTTCGCTCCATTCCAGTATGACCGAGGAATTTCCACCAAGCCGTACCCCAACAACAGCACGAGAAGAAACAGACCCCATGTGTTTGCAGCAGCTATCCCAATTGTCTGAAGCTGGTTCCTAAGAAAGGAAAAGTGTGAATGGCATGCTTTGAGGAAGAACTTCTAACAACCAAATATTGTTTAATCTACATGGTTTTTCAGAAAGCAACTGTCCACAATGATGGCTATGATTTTATATTAAGAATATAGGATTCAAGTTCTCAGCCCATCTTTTAATAACAACACATAATTTATGTGATTTAATAGAAAATTAACAGTGTGACTGTGACTGTAGGAATCCATTTTAACACTGGAAATACTGCTTCCATAATGTTAAAATTCGAATCTAGGATAACTAGGAGAGGATGTTTTTCACTAGGTACTCTCTTACTTCACATTAACCAAGAGAAACCTAAAATGTTTAAATACTTCATTTACAGCTAACCTACTCAAATCTCAGGAACGCAGGAGCTGAGATGAAGCATTTTTAACTATTACCTAATATTCAGATCTAGAACTTCATGTTCATTACAGATCCCAAGTATAATGCAGACACCAATTTTACAGCCATGTTCAAGTTCAAGATAACATGAAAGACAAGTATATAGACTATTCACAAGTCCCATAGAAAAATAATCCAAAGAGTATCAATACTCTAGAAAATTTTGTACTTTATGACAACTCTTAACACCAGCAGTGGGGAAACCAAAAGACGAATTGCATTGGGACAATCTGCTGTCAGGGTCCTCTCCAGAGTACTGAAAAGCAATGATATCACTCCAGAAGACTAAGGTGTGCCTAACCAAGGTCACAGGCTGTAATTACTTGTTATGCATCAGAGAGCTGGACAATGACTAAGGATGACAGAAGAAGAATCAATGCCTTCGAGCTGTGGTGCTGGAGAAGAGTACTGAACATACCATAGACTGCCAAGAAAACAAACAAGTCTGTCTTGGAGAGAGTGAAACCAAGTTTCTCCTTGGAGGCTAGCATTTTGAAGCTCCATCTCACATACTTAGGCATGTGGTCAGGACAGACCTCTCCTTGGAGAAAAACATCATGCTTGGAAGGATGGGCAAACAATGCAGGAAAGAAAGACCCCGGATGAGATGGACTGATATAATGACTAGTACAGTGAGGGTTGGTGTGTCAGAATTAGTAAGACTGGCTCAGGACAGGGCAGGGTTCAGAGCTGCTGTACATAGCGTCACTATGGGGGGCAGGCAACTCGATGGCACATAACAACAACATAGCAAAAATCTAACTTTTAACATATAGATATTAGACAAAGCATGAGCTGTCTAGTATTGTTGTTACTGTATACTAACTACTGAGTTGGAAACAACCCAAAGCTGACCCCTCTGGCAAGAGACTGCTCATCCTTCCCCTGGGGAGTAGCTGGTGGATTTGAACTGTGATCATTCAAGACTGCAGCCCAGCTTCTTGCTACTCAGCCACCAGTGTTCTGCAGCTGTCTTAAAGCTGTCTTAAAAGATGTCATTTCTTAGTCCTATGGAGTATTCAAATTTCTTTCAGCAAAAGCATAAAGTATAACTTAGTCTGTTTCTTGATGAAATGCCTACTTTTCCACACAAATGAGAGAAAAACGAATTCTAAAAAGTACAAAAATAAACAATGCTAAGAATATGGGTTTTCTTACCATTCTAAGTGCAAATGTGGGTTTACAGCTACATAAATTAAAAATGCTCCAAATATCAGCAAGTAAGTGCCATAATAGATGGCATTTTCAATCAGTGCCGTTTTGATCTTCCCAGTGATGGAAAATCCTCCAGATCGTGCATATGACTGCATAAACGGTAGCAGAATCCTGGATGGTTGAAAAGAAAATAATTAAACAAAAAGAAAACAGTGAATGTCTACTAATCTCAAATATCCTATGTATATGACTCTCGATTTTAATGTATAGTTCTTTTCACTAATAAAAATGAGTATGTGTAATTATTAGCACTGTGTAAGTAACTGTGGCTAACATTAAGAAGAATGAGAATCTCAGAATACTTGATTGTGCTCATGTGAAATCTATACTTGGACCAAGAAGCAGTTGTCAGAAAAGAGCAAGGAAATATGGCATGGTTCAAAATTAGGGAAAAAGTGTGTTAGGAATGCGTTTTGTCTCCATACCTTTTCAATTTGCAGAACAGATCATCTGGGAGGATGGACTTTATGAGCAGGAATGTGGAATAAGGGTTGGAGGAAGACTCCTTACCAACTTGCTTTACACAGATGACACAACCTCCTTGCTTGTCAAACTGAGGAGGACCTGAAGCATTTGCTGCAAAAGTTCAAGGACTGCACTTTTCAATATAGACTGAAGCTCAATATTAATCAATACTTGCACTGGCAGTCAGGAAATCAAAATATGAATTTCATTAGGAAAATATCCCATCATGGACCTTTCCAGAGGGCTAAAGAGCAATGATGTCAGTCGGGAAACTAAGGTGTTCCTAATTTAAGCCATAGTCTTTGCAATTGGTTGTTAGATATCAGAAAGCTAGATGACTAAGGATGACAGAAGAATTGATGCCTTTGAGTTGTGGTGCTGGAGAAGAGTATTGAATATACCATGGACTGCCAAGAGAACAAACAAGTTTGTCTTGGAGAGGGTGAAACCAAGTTGTTCCTTGGAGGCAAGGATTTTGAAGCTCCATCTGACATACTTTGGGAATGTAGCCAGGAGGGACTAGTCCTTGGAAGAATGGAGGGAGAGTGCAAGAGATGAAGATACTGGGGGAGATGGATTAACAAAGTAACTGTGGTAACAAAAGCTGGCTCAGGACAGGACAGGGTTCAGCGCTAATATTCACAGGGTTGCTGAGTCACAAGTGACTCGATGGTACATAACAAGGTATACTAGATGGCTTCTAGTACATAGATGTATACAAACCGGATAATTCTAACATACAATTCAGATAACTGACTTGTCTGTAGTATTTACTTTTGGAGATTGTAAAGCAGGCCACAATGATAAGCCACGGGAGGAATGATTTACAGTGAGTCTAAAAAAGTTCTCTAAAGCCTTTTGAAGAGTTTGGATCATATCCAGTGAGCAATGAGGAACCACTTTTGTTAACAGAAGGAGATCTGATCAATCACATTTCAGTTTTCTAAAGACTGATAAGGCTGCAGCCAGGAGGATGCACTGACAGAGAACAAAACTGGGAATGAGTTGCGAGCAGTGAGGTTTGGTGTTAAGTGGAGAACATTAGCTGCCAATATACTAATTTCACAGCAACAAGAGACATCTAGAACTGTGACAGAGATTTTGGAATAGCCATGTCAATGGTGAAAAAACATTAGTAGCTGAGATCTCCTAGGCTAACTTGTAAGGAGAAGGGGAAAACTGAGGAATAATTACATTTAAGAATTAGGTAAAGGAGTAAGAAGAGGTAAAGAAGAAAATCAAGGAACTTATAGAGTTATGTGCCGTCGAGTCGCTTGTGATTCATAGCGACTCTACGTACAACAGCCCTAAACTCTGCTCTGTCCTGTGCCAATCGCACAGTCTCCGATACGCCCATCCCAATTATCCCTCCTGCGCTGTTGCTCCACCCTCCCAAGCATGATGTTCCTCTCCAAGGACTGGCCCCTCCTTACAACATGTCCAAAGTATGTCAGACAAAGCCTCAGAATCCTTGCCTCCAAGGAACAGCCTGGTTCAACCCTCTTCAGGATGAATCTGTTTGTTTTCTTGGCAGTGCAAAGTATATTCAACACTCTTCTCCAGCACCACAACTCAAAGGCATCAATTCTTCTATCCTCCCTAGTCATTGTCCAACTCTGATGCATAACAAGTGACTGCAAAGACCATGGCCTGTAACAAACGCACCTTAGTCTCCAGAGAGACACCATTGCTATTCAGTACTTTGGAGAGGTCCCTAGCAGCAGACTTTCCTATCACAATACATCTTTTAATTTCCTGACTGCTGGTGCCAAGATTGTTGACAGTTGGAGCCAAGCAAACTAAAGCTGTGAACAATTTCAATCTCTTCACCATCTATACTGATGCTGCCAATTGGTCCAGTGGTGAGAATCTTTGTCTTCTTGATATTGAGCCTCAATCCATATTGAAGGCTGCAGTCCTTGACCCTCTTCAGCAAGCGTTTAGGTCCTCCTCAGTTTCAGCAAGTAAATCCCTGCCCACCCCACAGGTAAATGTGAAGGCCCAAGGCTGCACAGGAATCGTTAGGGCCCAAGGGCCAAGAAGAAACTATCTACACACCAGTTCCACAGGACATATCATCTTTGCTTGGGAAACATTACCAATAAACTTAAGAGACACTGGTCACAGCATAAAAAACTGTCAGCAGCTGAAGTGTTTGGAATCACAGAAGCCAAGGAAGCTTCAGATATAAGCTATCAGATCAAGGGCTGGACAATGGGAGATAGATTTTGAAGAGAATGGGTAGAAGTGGATCGATATCCTGGTAGATGGTGGAGCAGGGAAATAAGTGGGCCAAGACACTTGTGCCAAGAGCAGGGACAACACTGAAACTAATGGTTAATTCCATAATAAGGGATGTATCTTTCATTTTTTTCTGTAAAATGCTTGTCTGTTGGATACTTCTCTAAATCTGAACATTCAGATTAAGACAGACTAGCAAGAAGGATTGGCCATCCACTTCTGAAATAGCAGGTCTCTGAAAACCCTATGCACAACAGAAGCTGCTTATAGAGTAGAAACTGAAAAGTATTTCAAACTTGAAAGAGAAAAAAAACAAATCAACCACTGTAACATCAGAAAGGCAAATTATACTTGAAAGTATGGGTACAGCAGCAGAGATAGTGTCAGAGAACAGGGTTAATTAAGCAAATCACCAGTGGAGACCCAAATATAGATAATTCATGACAAAGTTTGACTGGATAAAACATTTATGTAAACTCATAAAATGGAATATGTTACAGAAATGAAAATAATATTGCTATATACAACATAGATAAATTTCCTAAATATATATAAGTTAGGCAAAAAAAAAAAAAAAGCTAAAGGAGAAAAAGAACATGTTGCACAGCTTGACATGAAAGAAAAGTGGGTGAGTCTCCTTCCATTAAAACCTACGGCCTTGCAAACCCAATCAGGGGTCGCTATGAGCCACAATCAACTGTACGGCAGTGAGTCTGAGTATGAACATAACTTGATGTTTATAAAGTTCAAAAGTAGGTAAACAAATCTATGGGTTACAGGAGTCACAGTAATGGTTACCTTTGCAGGAAGGGAGTAACTGAGCAGGGCTCTGAAGGAGGATTCTGAGGCCTTGGTGATAACAATCTTCATCTGATAGGTAGTTAAGATGGTCACGTTCATTTTAAAAAGAGTCTTTAAAAAGCTGTTTATGTTTAGCTACAAATTTATATGCAATTAGTTTCAAAAAAGGAAATTCAGCTGTGATTAAGTCTACAACCTTCAGTGTGCATTACACCTCAACATAAAGGGGGAAAATCCTCAAAATGAAGCCAATAAGCAACATCATGACAATAAATTAAACGATGGAAGTTGTCAAGAATTTAATTTTATTTAGATCCACAACCAATATCCGGGGAAGCAGTAGGCAAGAAATTTAAAAAAAAACATGTTGAAATGGGCAAATATGCTGTTAAGTCAATTTAAAGTCTAAGGTGCATCTGACCCAATCATGGTTAATTACTTCATATGCTTATAAAACAGATACTGAAGCCATTAGAAAGGAAGAGGATGCATATTATGGATAAATATGAAGTCTGAGGAAGAACGGATGACTCTGAATTGTGATGTCTAGAAAGAGCACAGTCTATGGACTGTCAAAAGAAGCAAGGATGGTGTGATTTCATCTTACATACTTCGGGCCATGTTATCCAGAGGGACCTACCTGGAAAAGCAGAAGATCAGAAAAGGAGAAAGACCCTCACCAAGAAGGACTGACACAATGATCTGAACAATGGGTTAGCGCACTGCAGAGACTATAAGGAGAGCAGAGGGAGTGTCGATGTTTAGGGAATAACCTAGAGAGATGGAACCCAGGAAGGAAATTCAGGAAATGGAGAGAAGTGACAGAGGGAAGTAACTAGAGGGAACAATGATAAGAAAAACATTTTTTTTCTAGCTTTCGTTTGTTAGTTTTGTTTTTATTCCCCCCTGGTCAACTGTGTTCTGGGTGAAAATTTACAAAGCATATTAGATTTCTTTAATCAATCATTCATGCACATTGTGTTCCATTACATCAATACAATAAACACACTGCTGATGGTGCATTCACTGCATAGTGTCATTTTTTCCTTTTCTTTTTTTCAAAATGAGAGATTGAAGCCAGGAGAAAGAGGATGAACGTTTAAGGGCTTTATCAAGGGACATCTGAATAAATAAATTTTTTAAAAAAGTATTATTGAGAATAATGTAAATTTTTTTTAACTAGTCCTTGGAGAGGGACATCATGCTGGGGAAGGTGGATGTTCACAGAGAAAGAACAACCCTGAATGAGATGGACTGACATAGAGTATGACAGAGATGAGGATGGTGTGGGACAGGGCAAGGTTCAAGTATGTTTTTCATAGCATTGCTATGAGTCACATTCTACTTCAAGACACCTAACACTTCGTAATTTTTCTTTCAACCTTAGGCAAAATGTAAAATTTTTTGTCTTCCACTGCCACTTACCATGTTAAAAATTGTGAGGTCCAATACACTACCCTCCAGAAAACTGGCATGATTCCATCAGGGATGTAACTCCATGGCTTGAAGCATGGATGGTGGCTGTTTAATAAGAATTGAAACAAATTAATCATAACTTACATCAATTAATTCCCATGTAGCAAAGATCATTCTTCTATTACCAGCACGAAATGAGATTGTAAAACTCACCAGAAAACTTAAGAGTTCAAAAGTCACTGCTACACTCAGGGAGAGAAGGTGTATGTGGGGGAAAGTCATATATGAAAATCAAAACCAAGTGTTCTAGAGAGGTCATATAAGTTTTCAATGTATTTATAATCATATTCAACTCAATGAATAATGAAACAGTCCTTAAAAACAAATGCATCAGTAAATAAAACCTCTAAGACATCACAAACAGTATCAGGGTGGTGCAAACTTAAGTGCTTAACTACAAGTGAAAAGGTGGGTGGTTTGAACCTACCCAGAGATGCCCAGATAATAAATATGGCTAGCAATTTGCATCCTAAATGGTCACAGCATTGAAAAGATTATAGAACAGCTGCATTTCACACTGTCAGTCAGTTCTGAATCAGAATTGACTCACTATCAAATTATAATGAAACTCCTTAATCACACAATAAAATATACTCATTTGGGGGTTGTTTTCTTTTGAAGAAGGAAGACAAGTGATTAATTCCTAGGAAGTGGAACATTAACTGAATTAGTAACTGCGCTACAACTTGCATACCAGCATCTATATATATTTCTTGGGATTTTCTTATGTGTCTTCGGCCATATATTTTTCCATTTGATGGATGGTTACACATTTTTTTTAATCAAGATTTTAATGAAAGTTTATAGAGAACTTACATTTTCATTCATTCATTATTATACATTTTCCTCCCTGCATATCCCCCCCCAGTTCGTTTTTCTCTTTGAAAAAATTATTTCATTGTTGTACAACTCCCCATCCCCACCCCAGTCCACCTTATTATGTAGCTCTTATTCTGGACTGTTGTCATGAAAATAATACCTAATCATATATCCCTTTTAAGCAGTTATTTCCCTCATCTGTTTCAATGCAGTGTACATTATTTACCCCCTCTTTTTTAAGTTTCTCCACAACCCCCATGTCAGTCCTGTTTTGTAACAATGACATTATGCAATATTTGTCCTTTTGTGACTGAGATATTTCACTCAGGGTCACACATTTTGTATAAATATTTCATGAGTTTCTTGTTTTTCAGTGCTCCATAGTATATTCCATTGTGTGAATATACCACAGCTTCTCTATCCATTCTTGTTGATGGGCACTTGGGTTGTTGTTTCCATCTCTTTGCTATTGTGAACAAAGTAGCAATAAACATGGGTGTGCATGTATCTGCTTTGGGTTTCAGTTCTGGTTTCTTTAAGGTACAATTGCTGGGTCAAATGGTATTTCTATTTACAACTTTTTGAGAAAGTGCCATACTGCTTTCCATAGTGATTGCACCATTTTATACTCCCAACAGTGAATAAGGGTTCCAATTTCTCTACAACCTTGCCAGCATTTGTTATTTGCTGCTCTGTTGAACTTTGCTATTGTGACTGTGATGAGATGATATCTCACCGTTGTTTTGATTTGCATTTCCCTTAGAAGAAGAGATTTTGAATATTTCTTCATATGTTTGTTTGCCATCTGGATATCGTATTTGGTGAAGTGTCTGTTCATATCCTGTGCCCATTTTGCAATTGGACTGTTTACCTTTATCTTGTTGTGGTGTGGTTACTCTTCTTCAAGAACCGTCTTTACTGTCCAAACACTTCTAATCACCTATAACTCTTGCTGAATTATATCCAAATTTTTGGTGGTTTTATTTTTCAATTTGTTTGCATGTTATTTCTTTGTCTCTCCCATTTTGTTTTATAATATTGTAATTACATTTTCATTTGTGTACTTATACAAAGTTTTAGAACATGGTCTAGTGATGATAAGCTGTCCTGCAATCCTAAAGGCACATGGTTCAAATCCACCAGCTGCTCTTCAGAAGAAAGATGAGCAATCTCTTCTGGTAAAATTTACAGTCTCGGAAACTCGTTGCAGAGTCAGCTAGGGGTTGCTTCTAATTTGACTCCATACAAAACACAATATATTAATATAATTATCCAATTCCAATGATGCTTCAAAGGGAGGTTGTGATGTTAGACTAACAGTTGGTTTTCTTTTAGCCATTGCTGTTAGCTCCCTCTGGTCTCGAGTTGCATTAATTGTAGACACGTGGCCTTGCAAATCATCAAAAGCTGTTGGACTAGTATAAGAGAAAGAATGCTTCCTACACTGGGAAGCAAGACAAGTCCTCTCTACAATGATATACCTCTTATTCTGGGCTGTTGTCATATGTATAATGTCTAATCATCTATTACTTTTAGACAGTTCTTTGCTTCATCTGTTCCAATGCAATGGTCATTATCTATCTGCTCTTTTTTTTAAGTAAATTTTTTATTTTATATTGATTTACTTACAAAGTTTGTATACATTGTTTTTCACACCAGATCAATTTGATACTTCCTGATAATAAGTACCAACCTGATACTAAAGACAAATCCCACAAGAAAACTACAAACCAATATCCTCATGAAAAAAAAAATGCAAAGATCTTTAACAAAATACCAACCAACTGAATCTAAAAGCATATTAAAAGGATTATATGCCATCATCAAGGGAGTTCTGATGGCTTAGAGGTAAGGAACTGTACTGCCAATCCAAAGGTATGTAGTTCAAATTCACCAGCTGCTCTTTGGGACAAAGATCGGCAATCTCCTCCTACGTGATTTATTATCTCTGAAAATCCCCTAGAAGGTAAGCTATAGGTTGGTTCCAACTCGAACTCGATGGTACACAACAACAACAATGCTATCATCACAAATACAAAAGTGGTTCAACATTAGAAAAAACAGTGTAATAGACCACATTAATAGAATACACTCATCTCAATCAACACAGAAAAGGCATTTGACAAAATCCAACATCCATTCATGATAAAAGCCAAATAAACAAGTACCCAAGAGAAATTCTTCAGTATGATAAAGATATCTATTAAACACTTACAGCTAACCTCATACTCAATGGAGAAACATTGACAGTTTTTTTCTTAAGATCAGAAATACTACTCACTGGTACAACCATTCTGGAAGGCAGTTAGGCGCTTTCTCAAAAAGCTGAACATAGAAATTCCATATGACCCAGCTATTCCACTACTTGGAATATACCTTGAGAATATGAGAACTGAGGCACAAACTGAGATTTGTACATCAATGTTCATAGCAGCATTATTCACCATTGCAAGAACATGGAAACAGTCCAAATGTCCAACCACAAATGAATAGATTGAGAAATGACGGTACATTTAAGCAATGCAATACTATGTAGCAAGAAGAAAAAATAATTTTGTAAATTATTACCTAACTTGGGAGGGACTGAAAAGCATTATGCTGAGTGAACTAACAGTCTCACAAGGATAAATATTGTATAAAACCATTATTATAGAATGAGTATAAGGATCCAGGAGGCGTGGGAGAGGCTGGAAGCAGAAGGATGTGGATGTAGAGGGGGAAAGGGGATTAATTACTGTACAATTTTATGGGTGAAGGGATGAGGGAAATTGAAAGAATTTCTTCAAATTTGTATTTGAGTTTTGTAAATAAACTATTGGGGGTTAAGAAAAAGTAATACTACTCACTCCAATTCTGGATGTCCTAGCCAGAGTAATCAGTGAAGAAAAAAAAGATATACAAATTGTGAAAACTGTCCATTTACGCACATAGCATGATCCTATATATACTGAAAAGATGAATAAAATTATAAGAAAACTAGTGTCATGAAATGAATTTAACACAAGGGAAGGTGCCAAGTTACAGACGTAGTAGATAAGATTCTACATACCTGGAATAAGCTATCTGAAAATGTTAAGAAAAATGATGTTATTTATAGAACAATCTTGATAAAGGAATAAAATATGTAGGGACATATATAATGTTGTTGAGTATGATGTATAGCAATCCCATGAACAAAAGACCTGAACCCTGTTCTATAGTTATCGTTGTTTCTCTATGTCCACAGAATTTCCAGAGGCACATGTTTTAGGAAGTGGATGCCATTACTGCTTCCAAACCTAAATCAATCTGGGAGCTACAGCAAACACTGTCCACAATGGGTAACCATTATGGCATTTGACACACCAGTGGCAGTGTTCAGCATCACAGAAACCCTAAGTTACTTCAGTACAGCAAATTGACAGACCAGTGCTATACAACTTGGAAGAATGTTCATCTAAATACAATTAACACCAGTCCTGAGGGTAGCAAGGCCCACCCACCAGGTCCTGGCTGACTTTAAACCAACAGGCTTCCAGCCCACAGCTCACTGTTAGTGAAAGCCAGTAAATTCAATCAGCTCACACACAATTGTGAATGAAATAAAGCAACCCAACAGTCCACACCTAACTTTCACCAAGACAAGAGAGACCATCTTCCAGAATCCAACCGCTTCACACATGAGCCTCCTTATATATAAAAATATCTGGTCTCACCAGGCATCCTCGTGAGAGGGACATCGTCTTTAAACCCCGTGTGGCAATCCCTGACGCACCACAGTGATGCCCAGGGAAGACAGGGCGACCTGGAAGTCCAACTACTTCCTTAAGATAATTCAACTTCTGGATGATTATCCGAAATGCTTCATCGTGGGTGCAGACAATGTCGGCTCCAAGCAGATGCAGCAGATCCGCATGTCCCTCCATGGGGAAGGCTGTGGTTCTGATGGGTAAGAACACCATGATGTGCAAGGCCATCGGGGCCACCTGGACATCAACCCGGCCCTGGAGAAGCTGCTGCCTCACATCCGGGGAAACGTGGGGTTTGTGTTCACCAAAGAGGATCTCACAGAAATCAGGGACATGCTGCTCTCCAACAAGGTGCCGGCTACTGCCCGTGCTGGTGCCATTGCTCCGTGTGAGGTTACTGTGCCAGCCCAGAACACTGGTCTGGGCCCCAAGAAGACCTCCTTCTTCCAGGCTTTGGGCATCACCACTAAAATCCCCAGAGGCACCACTGAAATTCTG